GGAGCTGATACAAAATGGCGACTATCGGTTTCCTATTTAACCCTGTCCAGTCTGCAGAATGTGAAGGGTCTGTCACTCAATTCCCAACTGCATCAAATAGCCTTGGTGCCCCAGAAGACACACAGACAAGCTTTAATTTTATGTATTGAGTCATACATTGGCTCATTTGAAGCTACTATAAACTCAGACTTTATACATATCTGTCTTTAAGATTCTTGAGTTCTTCTCATGTTGAAATTGAATGAAAATGAAAAGTTAAAGCTTATTTTTCTCTCATTTTCAATTTTTTAATCTTCAAATCATAAGAACTTGGCCCTAAATTGATATGGGCTAGTCAAGATAGCTAAGCCTTATTAGTAATATAAATAATTATTAACACAAGTGCAGTAGAAAATACCAACAACAAAATTTATGAAAAGCAAAAATGAGTGCAAGCAAAATGGAAAAGAGAGACAATCCAGATGCAGAAAATTTACTTCAATATTTCAGAGAGAGAAAGTAGAATTATAGATATGACTGTGATCTTTAATATTTTCAGCATTCTCACTGTTGTGTGCATATGTGTAATTTTCTAGTATGTAGAAGTGTAGGGAGTAAAGGGAGAGGATTTTTCAGGGTTAGGGTTACCTCAATAAAACACATCTGTCATATGAAACATCTTTGACGACTCTCTCTCTTTGGCTCATATCATTCTTTATTTTAGAGGTATAGGGGTATCTTGGAGTCAAGAGCCTCCATATTACAAAATTCTGCCTACTTCCCTGAATAAGTAATGGCATCACACACATTTAATAGATGTTATGTTTTGGGACTTAAGTTTTATAGCATCTAGTCAAAAATAGAAAAATACAATTTCATAGCCCTGGGTGAGATATCTTGGAAATGTAATCAGTCGCAGAACTAAGGCAGTGCTTTGGGACTTAAGTTTTATAGCATCTACTCAAAAATGGAAAAATACAATTTCATAGCCCTTGGTGAGATATCTTGGAAATGTAATCAGTCGCAGAACTAGGGCACTGCACCTGTTCTGGACACTAGTGGCTAGCTAGGGTGGGGTATCTCTGAAAAGTAATCACTGGCAGAGTCACTGCATTGAGGTTACACATCTCTGAGCAATAGGGCGTTCCTGAACCATAACTGACGTGAAATTGTATTAGTGCGAGGACATTGTCGCAAGAATTGTAATTTTGACTATCTAAACAGACTAGCATTTAGAATTTTTTTACAGCGTTTAAATCTCAAGCATAAAAGTTTTGTACTCGTTCACAACTTACATGACGAGATTTTTTTCCCAGTTATCCAGTATTTAATAGTGGAGTTGTGCACCTGTTACACAGAACCCCATCTAAGCATGACGTGTCCGCGCACAAGCCAAAACACGAAACAATATCACTCGTGGACCAAAAACCGCGAAAAATTGTGAATGATCTTCGACTTATTAGCCCTGAGACCAATCTCGCATATTACACAGAAAACTTTGTCTTTTCTGCACTCTAAAAGGATAGAACAGATAACTAAGACGATGGTCTTAGTTTTAAAACAAGCGCCACTTTTCTTTGCAGCATTCGCTGCGGCCAATACTACCACAAACTTCCGTCCAGCGGCTCGCGCATACTCGCAACGTTACCACTTGTTGTTTCTGCTCACACCTTCTATATAAGTTTCTTTAGGAAGTTTTACGCTACAACTAGGTGCGCAGAGAACGATAATTATATGTCCGAACAAGTGTGACACCGTGAATTGATCTGCTTTCTATGAATATCCTAAATATTCAGATTTATCTTGGGGCAGAATAAGAATCTTGTTACCATAGGTCATATATTCCACAGTTTGTAACGCAAGCCATGATAGTTAAACCGTATAAAGACATTAAGTTTAATGTTTAAACGTGAGATTGAATCAGTTCGTTTGCAAAATGGTTAACAAAAAATGGTTGAATTGTGGAATTCAGATAAACGAGAATACCCCAAAATATGGCTAATGTATTTAGATGTAGACAGCTCTTGCAAAATAATTCCAAGAAAGGCCGATGTCGGTGGACATTCAACCGTTTCCGAGAAAAACATTAAACGGCCAAGTCATAAATTCACCACGGCTATTTTGAACACTTTGTTGTCGCTGTTGACACTAAAAATTGCCTAGTATGTCTTAATTTATCCCAAGACAAAAGAAATGACGAATCAATAATAATGATGATCGGTTCATAGGCTTGATGTCGCCAGAGTTCTGACAGATTTCTAATCTGGGATAACGCGGAACTCCGCGCTGAGGTCTAAAGTACTACCTCGCAATTGGCTCTGTACTTTTCAATGTTGAAACAACGATAAATAAAAAGAAAAAACGAGCTATTTTTTATCACTTCTGATGAAAAAACTGCAAACGACACTCGATAAGTTTGTTCTTCCAAACACACGAAGCTTACCGTTTAGCGTAACGCGTAATATGGCCGCAGTTGCCTGGGGAACACGAAGGAATCAACACTGATTTGGGGCTTATTAATTACTGTACCTTGTTTTACCTTGTCCGGTCTTCACAATTAATAATTATGCTGCTTTGAGCGATCATTTACAATGTTTGAAAATGTATACGGAATCGTATGTACGGTCACGCTGAAACGAGACTGGCTATACTCATTATCATACAGACAAAAATACCTGAATGGACTTTAACCCTCAAAAGTCTTTGCACTGCCGGTAGTTTCTTCACTCCATTTTCAACCCACCTAAGTTAATCAAGAAACGACAGGGCACAAAAGTCGAAAGATCCACTTATAATAGCCGGCGTAGCAGGCGCTTGAAAGCCCGGGCGTAGGAAAGAACGGGGCGCGCCAGAGAGACACGCGAGGGGAGAGGGAGCACCTGCCCTGGGAACCTCAAGGTCACAAAGTATCATGGGAATTAAAGGAAGACGGTCACGTTTGTTTTATCTTGACCACAAAAGACTACTGCACATTGAGTCTCGTTTGACTAAAACTTCAAAAAAATGTGTTGCATCTCCGTTACTAGTTTACGTATTTAATTGGCTAGATTTTTAAGCCATTCATGTTACTATTTTTGAATTTTTATCAACTTTTATTGGCCTAATTTGTTACCTTAGGCACATAGTTTACCAAGAGATCATATAATTATGGCTCTTGAGTTTACTTAATTGGTTTCTTATGTTACCTTTTTTAATTATATTTCATAGCTACTGTAAGTAGATGGCAAATTTGTTTTAAATGTGCTTTTAAGATTGTTATTATTAATTATTATTATTATTATTATTATTATAAATTATTATTATTATCATTATCATTGATAATCGTTTTCGTTTATATCGTAATCGTTCTCAGTTTTCTCTTTCTCTTTGTCTTTCACTCGGGTGTCAAGTGATACTATTATTAATGCAGCCAGCGTTAGGCTATGCTCCTGGCGGTGACGAGGCGCTCTTGAAATCGGTAGGCTATTAGAAAGGCGGGGTGTGATTTGCGCAATTGTGGAGTGGTGTTTCGGGAAAACCCGGTCATCTAGTAGCTCATAACAAGAGACTATTGTGTATTTTATTGCCTTTTCGTCTCGAAAATTATATCAAAATCGAAATTACTGACAAGATTATTATGCAGTGTCCAAAATGCGAAAAGGAGTTAACGAGGAACTGAAAAACAGCAAACGAATGTGTGTTTTCGTATTTTATTTGTTTGTCAGTTGTTTCAGTTTTTCTACGAAACCGACAAAGAAATACTTGCCTGTATTTTACAAGTCAACGGCTTAATACATTGTGCCAGGTTGAGTGCAACTGCCATTTTCCAGATACTTCGGCACCCTTTTTCGCTAAGAAAAGGGGAATAAATGTCACTGCTTCAACATAATTTATCACACAATGCCACTGCCATGAAATAGTAGCTTTACTTATGGTAATTATGACCACTGATGATGAAAGTCACAAAAGCGTGACATGTTCAACTTCCGGTTTTCCACGAAAATAAAGTTAGGCAAATAACGGACGTTCATCTTCAGTCGGCCAACTGTATTTCTCTTCTTTTATCTCAAAGCTCATGGTTGAATGTCGCTGTGGCCGACTGACCCAAATAATCACATGGATCAAAGCCAGCGACACCGTTCATCACCGCTACTCTCAAGGCATAACCGCACCCGGGAATTGGAAATCAATCGCGCCGATCCGAAAAGATTGGTTGCTCTCGACACACAATTTCTGAAGCAGCTACGACAGCTCCCAGACCAACTGGAACAGTTAAAACGTCATTTTGATAGCGGTACGAAATCAACATCAAGGTAATGCAAACTGGGCTGTTACTTCGAACTACAGCTGTGGGAATTTTACATTTTGTTAATGGACTTGTGTGAAACATCTAATTTTAGTCATTCAAAAAACCTCATTCCGATGTTGAATTTGTATTTGTGAATTTGCTTAGTTTGGTTTACTTACACAATGGTCTCTTTGATGAGTACTCACCACATCGGGCTGCCATTGCTCAACTACATGTGTCACATGTACACATATAAACATCAAAGAGCCCGTAAAAGGGAGATCGCATTTATATTATGAAATTCTTCTATCCGGTCAATCAGTCTGTTTAGTGTGAGTCTTTTATAGCCACCGCATTTGTCTGTAGCACTATTTTACTTGCTTTTAATCTTAAAGGTTATGCATGCTGAAAGTACATGCACTCTTAGTTGTGTCGATCACTGTCATTATCACAGTCATGAAATGTACTGCAGATGTATTTGCTGTTCAAATCTTTTGAGCCACTTAGACTGCGCATTTGATTGGCTCTCTGTGAGTTCCTTTGTTTGTAACGAATCAAAATGCTTCAATTATTTACCTTTATTCTGCATCATGTTAGCTAAAAACTGCATTTGTTTATATGCCCATCACAATCGACAAACTTTTTCGTTTATAGTATTAATTATTAAATTGCAATATTGTTTCAATTCAAACGTTTTTTTCATTTTTATTCATTTTATTATAAAATCGAATTTTTGATCATTTAATCGCTTTAGAGCCACCTTAAATTTTCGAAAGCTTAAGGTTTTTTTGAACCTTCCATATAGCTTTTTTACTTTTGGGAAATTTTTTAATCTTCACAAACTAATTGCATTTCAGTGATAAAAATAGAGGTCACAGAACTCACTTTTGAGTTCAGGTGTTTTAGCCTTTTAAGTTTAACATAAAGGGCGTTTTTGATGCCATAAAAATTATCATGGCTGAGGCTCTTTCACCAATGGCTGCTGGGCAAGTGTTTGTATTGTAGCATCAAACGAAAAAGCTTCGTTGTATAGGTCCGTTCATTAAAAGTAGAAGTACTGAAAATTCCACAAGCCACTGCGAACCACCTTAAACTTAAGTACCGGTAAGTAAAAATAACAAGTAAATTAATTAATCAAAATAGTAGTAATAAAAGATGAAGGAATAAATGACAGAAAAAGGAAAAAAGGAAAAAAAGCAATAAAGACACGTGTCTGTTATTGGTCCACAAATAGGTTCGAAGCTTGGAATGACCACGCACAGTACCAGCAGTCGAATACCAGAGAGGAAAATCTGAAACGTGAACACGAAGAAAAGTAAGTAGTAAACTATGGTGCACAATAGTGAAAAAACTAAATTAATGCATTATTAAATTAATTAAGATAACTGGCTTACACGCCCCGAGGCAGTGTAGCCGAGTGGTCAGCGCGTCAGACTTGCAATTTAGAGACCACGGCTTTCGAGTTCCCGCCCTTGACTCTGGCCAAATAGATCTGTTTAGCTTGTATCTTTTGTTTTGCCTTTTCAGAGTATTTCCTTCACATGACTGATTATCAAAGGGCTTATGTATGTTTTGGTTTTCAGTTTCAGTTTATTGTTTTGCCATAAGAAAAAACTAATTATTTGCCACAAGAAAAACTAATTATTTAAACTCCCATGGCGAGGAAGCCCAAGAGAAGCCACCGGGCTTATTAGGAATGGGCTCCCTCAGTTAAATAATTAGAACAAAAGATTACCATAATTATACATTGTCATGAAAAGACAAAAGCCAAATTCCCTTCAGACCCCTCATCACATGGTCGGAATTGGTAAATAGAAACATAGAAGCTATGATACTAACAGGTCAATTATTATGGAGTGTCTTTATAGAGCGTTTTCAAATGGCGTCACGTTCGCCATATCCGTGTAGCAAAACCATAAAACGGCGGCTATGTCGGTGCTCTTAAGCAATCCTCGTGGAGTTGCACCGGTTTTTTGGCTTTTGTTCTAATCAATTAGCATAGCTGCTGACCTCGTGAGTGAAAACGATCTATAATGGCTAACGAATTGCTTACTGCTCATAACCTAATTTTATTATTATTATTATTATCATTATTATTGTTATTATGTTAAATGAAAGATCACATCACAACAAGAACTTCCTCGAAACAAATTTGTGTTTGACCGAGATGAATTTTTTTAAAAGTCGAAATGTCTTTTGTACACCCGTTCCGCTGATTACAAATTGAAAGGCTCATAAGTGACGTCATAAGACACAAATTCATTCAAGTTTTTCAACTTGAAAACTGGATCTTATGAATGCTTATCCTTTTGTAAGGGTCTCCAGTGTTACGCCATGTTGTGTTCAAATCATTTTTTCTCACACAGGTTCTCGTAATAGTATGTACTTTAAACTTGACTATAAGGGGAATGGGTACAAGCTTTCGGCGAAACGATTTGTGGAAACATTTGGGTCGGCAACCGTTACTTATGATGGGTTAATGGTTGTCTTGAATATCATTTGATCGACCAATCATAACTAACGCTTGTCCACCCAAACGATCCCAGAACTAACTTTACCCAAAGCTTGTACCCATTCTCCCAAGAGTTTCTGAAGTGGGGAATTAAGTGCTATAGTCGAACCTCCATGTGCGACCATCTCCTCGCAAGCGACCACCTCCCCTAAGCGACCACTTATCTTCAACACCAAAATTTTCCCAGTTCAAGTCTTACAGTTGGAACCTCTCCTAAACGACCACCTCCTGTAAGCTACCGCGACCACTATTTGGGGCTGACGGTTTAATGATTTTCCATTGTTTGTAACCTCTTGTAAGCGACTACTTGACGAGTTTTCCGCTCTCTTATGGTCATTGTGTGCACTATGCTACTTAGAATTTAGAAGAAATGTAGCAACGAAATGGAACTGCACATGTAGTAACTTGGAAATTGCATGTAATAAATTCTCTTCCTTCAACTAGATGTGTCCGGACTTCTTCCCGGAAGAAAACCTCTGTGGTTCGATTCATGTAACTGCGACCACCTCCCGTAAGTGACCACTAAGTCTTCGCATTTTGGGTGGTCGTTTACGGAAGGTTCGACTGTAGTGCTTTCGTTCTGGAGGTTTTCAGTGTTTTTAAAAAAACGGAAACCTAGGTTTTCAACGCCATTAAGATTCTACACGATAAAATTACTATTGATAGTACTATACTATAATTACTATTTTAGGGAGTTAAAGCTAAAACAACGTTACAAAGAACAGCTAAGGAAAGTAACAGAGAGTTTACAACGGGAGAACGAAAATTTAAGAGAGCAATTAGAAAAGTGGTGAGTACAGTATTTATAATCGTTATAATCGTCCTACACCTAAAAATCCCGGGAGTGTGCCGCACCGCAGACAATTTTTAGGACACAATTTTTTCTTATTTTCAGTTAGTATCTCCAATGAAGAAGAAACAAATCTTTGTACTTTTGTGCTTTCCTGAACTATTGCTTAGAATTTAGTATTTTTTTGCCATTTTGCAACTTAGTTCTGAAGGTTTTAAGAGACATTTAAAAGTAATTTTTCATTTTGCCGTCATGGCGCAACGGATGCGTCGGGCAGATCTAGAGCTTGGGTTTTTTATAATAACCAGTCTTTTTATCACTGATCTTCTTTTAATTTATATTGTTTATACTGATGTTTGTCGCTCTGAAGGTCAACTGGCTTATTTAGCCGCCTTCACGTCCAACATCTTGGGGTGTGTGACTAAAACTTGTTAAAAAAGTCAATGTCCTGCAGTTTGCGGGGGGAAAGGATGGGCGTTCTTAGAATTGGCTGATACTTAATAGCCACCACGTTACGTTCAGCTAAACTTGAGCATTTACGTCTGACGATTGGTTTTAGGCAACTGCACTAGTATTTCCAGTACCATGATTGTCTCGATGGTGTTTGTCTTTACTGTGGCTATCATTTTAGTCCCTCTGACTAGTTGCAGTTCTTGTGTCACTATCTTGAGAGTCTGCCACTGTTATTGCTTGGCATTCGGAACAGTCCACAACGGCAAACTTAGCCTAATAGGGTCAGAGGTACTTGGCTCTTATATGGGAGATAGAGAAGTTTAAACAATAGTTCAAATGTAATATATACCCTCAGGGACAAAGCCTGTCCACCGAAGTTTTGTCTTCCTCTCTCTGAGCTTGACACAAGGTTCTCTAAAATGATATTGCTGCGCTCTTGGTTTTGTATTATTTTTCTCTTTTAGCGAGAAAGTGGCCACTGAAAAGGACGAAGAAATAACAGCATTAAAAAGAAAAGTAGAAGAATTGCAGCAACGTGTCTCTATGAGTGATAGATTAAGGAAGGGAAGGGAAAGGTAGCAAAATAATCCATATTTTTTATTTGCTTTCGGAATGAGTTTACGATTCGTCCTATCAATTATATATATATATATAGATATATAATGAAAGTTGATGTGACGTTCGCAGTTAAATGAACAACCTTCGCGGCGTTACGTTGAAAAAGAACCTTAAAAAAAATAGTTTTTACCAGGAGTCCCACCCTGATCTTTGCAATGAATTAGACACTTTTCTCTCTCTCTCTCCAATAGAAGCTAATCAACTAGAAATGAACGTTACTATGGTCCGTTACCTTTGAATGGATTCAAGGTTTAAAAAAAAGGGTGCAATAGAGGGTGCAACAGCGTTTTTGAGCGAGGGACATCAACCGGAAGTGCCCTTTTTTTATCACTGGGGAGTAGTTCGTTTCAAACTCTCGGGTAAATCGTCTTTATAAGAGAAAAGAAACTTAGTATTAGCGGAGCTCCACGGGCGCGCAGAGCCCCACAGCTGAGTAAATCTACCCATTTTAGAAAATTTGGTAATCATGTGACCGTACACCGACTTCCCGATGGACTGTCCGTCCGCACCACAGGCATACCAATGTAAAATAACTCAATCAGGTATGGCAACCCAAATGCAACTCGAGGTTATTTTGGCGGGAAATCGCGTAGCCACCCGAGTCTTGTAAAGCAGAAACAACTAAAGAGTCAATAAAGACGAAAACGGAAAGCGGAAATTGTTTCTGTATCTGTGTTGTCTCAAGTATTAAGCTTAGATAAATTGTCATGTCCACAAATTTGGAATATAGAGCAAGAGAAAGACGGAGAAAAAAGAAAGTAGACGGCAGGCCCGCGAAGCTAAACGAGAAAAAGCGCGACAGAGAGCTAGAGCGAGAAACAACAAAGGAGACATTTTTTGATGGAAGAACAACATGACAATTTTGTAGCGGCGGTGAGAAAATGAGAAATGCTAGCGGCCACCGTTGCAAGGTGAAAATGAGCGGCAGTGAAAAATAAGTGAACAAGAACACGTGCGACATTTCCTGCATGAAACGTGTAACTAAAAAGTTTCTGGAATTTTCACGTTGTAGCCGTGCAAAACAAAGGCAAAGAACAGTACAAAAAAGTGTGCTGCACGTGCAAAGTTGCTTTTTTACTAATTGTTGTTTTTCACCGTTCTCCGGCGTTGCCTTCGCCCCTTAGAATTACACGAGTTTATATTTTTTTTGAACAAACTAGAAATATTATCGAGAGCTTCACTTTTAGCCCTTGCTAAGTCTTTATATTACAAATTTGTTAGCGTCAAGGCATATAAAAAGGAGAAGGCCTCACTTCCGGTTGACGTGCGTCGCTCAAAAACTTCTTTGCTTAAGCTCCTTAATGATGCCGCAAAACAATGAAACGGTCGCCATGCCAATCCTGTGGGGGGGGGAGGGGGGGGGGATGAAGGAAAAGTTTCTTCCAAAAACTTTACTTTAAACCTAACCAATCAAACCAACTGTGGAAGGCACGGTTAGCGAGGGTGCGCCGGCAAAACGCCTAGTGGCGAGAAAAGGAAAAAAACGAGGTAAAACAGCGAAAAAAAAAAAAAAACAAAAGGTTAGGAACCCTCGCTTCGCTAGCCGATTTTTTGTAACAAAAAAAAAATAAGGCATTTGAGACGGGCAGTGGAAGACCAAAAGGGGAGGAAATTTTGTTGGGGGGTACCGGGGGGGGGGGGGGGGGGGGGGGGGGATGAATGAAAAGTTTTCTGCAAAAACTTTACTTTCAAACTAACCAATCTAGCCAACTGTGGAGAGCACGGTTATCGTGAGTCCGTCGGCATATAGCCGATTGAGGAAGATACGAAATAGTATCATTTATGATGTATCAAATTTTCTTTGCGCTGCCGATGTAGATGTGGAAGTGGATGCGACTTCTCTGCTCATAGTTAACTATCTGATATTGCAAGATGGTTAAACCTTGCAATAATGTTGCTCACAATAATCAGGAGTTCGATTTAACACTATTTTCAACAACAAATCTGTGGAACTAACTTACTTCTAAGTAATTCAACATCTTACTCAGGGTACCTGTATTTCTTTTATTTTATAAGGTACAGCGATGGTGGTGCTCAAGAAATACAGAAAGTAAGACAAGCATTGTTTGAGAAGGAAAGAGAGCTTGAAAGACTCAAAGAGAGGTAAGAAGAGCAGTCAATGTATTTTGTAGTTCAACTTTAAGGGATGGAAAACAAAATTCTTCATACTGCAATTTGCAACGCTTTGCACGATATTTCAGTCACTCTCTCGGTTTTTTTTTTGAAACTCACTAACGTAGAGATGCTGTCGCTTGAAAAATTGTAATCGATCTTCATAGCGCTTTTCAGGCTACACCATCACGATATAATTATTAAAAAGGTAGGATTACGAAATAGTTAAGAAGAAAAAAGGTTTGTCCACTTATGGTTAAGTATGGTTATAAAAATATGGACGACTACTCAAAACAGAAACGCCAAAAAAAACAACAACAACAACAAACAAACGAAAAGGAGAAGATTTGATATATTGTCCCTTAAGGGCGAAAAAATATCTCTGAGCCCAGGTTAATTTGCGTATTGATTGCTTTGCTTATTTCAGACATGCTGCAATTGCTGAGAGAAGAGTGAGATCCGATCAAAGAAAATCAGAAAATACCCAAAGCACTAATAGGCAGTCCCAACTTGAAAGTGAATATGTTTCTGAATTCAAGGACGGTGCTCGCGTTGATGCGGTGGAGGTTATAACTAAGAGAGCTTCGCGTTTTGAAACGAAGCGGTCAGTATCTGATTATTTAAAGTTTTGCAGATTAGCCTGCTTCATATTTGAGGTAAGAGGTCTTTGGTATACTAATGTATTAGTTTACCATTGCTTTCGTTTTGATTCTTTGATTGGCTTTTTAAAATTTGGGGGCAAGATTAAACCCTATAATCTACACGCCACGACACTGCAGGAATCGAGTTTGTGAGGTCATTAAAACTAGTCACCATATTGTGCGCGATCTTGGATTGTGTGGAAATGTAGATTTATAGAAATGAATAATTTTCTAAGCATATTTACACTTTAGGCCTCAAATGAGCTACAACAAAACCCTATTCCGCTGTTGCCACGGGGAGCATAGGAGCTATCAGGTTTAACCTTGATTTCAGATTATTTCGCGTTGGCCACTGTAAAAATAAACGTGACTGATTGCAGCGTCATTTGATGAGTTTAGTTTGTACAAAGCAGCTAGTATTAGCTTTACATTTAGAATGCTACAGCAAACGGCAAAGGTTAATTTATACCGCGCGTTCAAGTTTTCCCTTAACATGTCATTTACTGATCATTATATTGTTAACATCTGCACCAATTCCTCATAACATTTGGGATATTACATTAAGCTGTTTCGATACAGTTTTTCAGAGGCCATACCGATATCTTTCAAACGCTTTAAAAGCGACTTTTTCCTTGTCTGATCGCTATAGAATTTTCACCAGTAACTGGCTATGGATTGAAAATTGTGAAAATCGATATTACGAAGACGACAATAGACAAAAAACTTTGAAATTGATAAAAGCCGAATTTTGTGTGACCTAGACCAGCTACTGAAAATCTAACACTAGGAACTTAAAGTTTGTTGTCTAGCAAACAGCCTCCGTAAGAAGTAAAAAATTCCGTATGTTTGAATTCGATTCAGAATGGAGACGAAAACTGACCGCGCTAGTTAACAAGGCTTTTCTTGCAACAAAATGTACAGTAGTATGAGTAACTAAAAACTTGTATTTTTAACCTTTTCTTCAGACTGCGTACGAGTGTGCCTTGAAAGCGAAAATATCTTTTGAGAAAGTTACGGCTGCCGCTCTGGAAATCTTATCATCGAACGCTCCTGCAATTGGACTTGACAGAAATGAACTCCAGAACCAGGTGCTTTTTTTCTGTCTTTTGGTCCCTCTGTTCCTATGTTATAAACGCAAGGGACGAAAATATGTAAAACACAGTACCAAAACAAAGACGAACAACAACATACCATCAAAACAGGAAAAATAAGGAAAACAAATAAAACATATTAAAACGTTCAAGGAATATCTGGATTTTTCCTCAGTCGCTGGCAAAGGCGATTCAGAGAAATAAAATCAGCGACGAATCCATGACCTTCTAGCAGGCATTTTCGTTGCAACATTAAGTGCTCTACATCTGTTAAGAAACAAAAAAAAAAGGTATTATATTAAAAACATATGCAATATGGGGAGTACAGCTAAAATTACATTAGGTCATTATCATTCCTTCAAGTTAATAGAAACGCCCAGAAAATATCGAGAATTCTTCCCGACTTTATTTGTAAGAGCAACCAATTTTCAGCAGACGCGTACAGTTACCATATTTGGAGAGTATGGTATAATATACAACTATCCCCCGAAGGGGAGGTGAATATACACCTATTTCAATTAAAGTTGCTCCCGTCAACCATGTTTCATAGCCTGCAGTGCACTATGGTAAACCCTTTTGTAGCGGGAAGTTTAGTCTTGTTCACGTTCATTGAAATAATGGAGACCATTTGTGAAAAGGCGTTCAAGAGAGCATGAGCGAGCTGAAAAATTTTCGTAGTAAAAAATTAGAAGCCTCTTCTTTTAACAACATTAAATGAATAGGCTTTTACCGCCTGATTAAACTGCGTTTTTACATAGGCCAGAATGCTAGTTATTTCAATAAAGCAAATCAACGCTGTTCTTTTTTTATTCAGTTTTAAGAAAATTTGCTCAATAATAGATTAACATGTAACGTGAAGTTATTTATTGTTGTTCAACAAAAGCCTTAAATTTGATTTTTTTAAACTCCATCCAAAATTCCCACGTGCACGAGCCAAGCAAACTCGTTGAAAATTTGCAGGATTTGCATATTACCACAGAGAAAAACCATTGGAGTTTAGTGACAGAATTTACTTTTTCGGATCCTATGTCACAAAACTTTATGTAACAGAATTGCAAGACGACTGTATCGTATCTTCGCAGTCGTCGCAAACGAAAGATCCAAAGATCCGAGAAACGCTGTACATAATTTACTAGACTTGCTACAATAATGCACCGTGGGCTATGAAACATGGATCATGCATCATTCTTCTCTGAAGCAACCTTAATTGAAATAGGTGTATATATCTAGCGCTATGAACCGACCCTGAGGGGGTAGTTGTTTTAGTATTTACCAAATCAGTTGGATAAAAATCAAAAAGGAACTTTTTGTATATAAAAGATGTCTCTTAGTTAGAGCTTGGTTACTTTGCAATTGACAGTGTTTCGGGCATCATTTTCTATGATTTTGTTGCATATTCAGTAAGAAAACTTTTTCTACCGACCAGTAAACACCGACAAGCCAAATTTTGTCTCTTTATTGGTATTTGGTTGTGCAGCTAGGGATATTCCGAGATACGGAAGCCAATCAAAACGCGCGAAAATCGCTATCCACTGATTTGGTGAATACTTATAACGGCTCATATACCATGATAGACAAGCCAATCAGAGCTCCTGAATTGCATTATCCAATGATTCAGTTTTAAAAAATTATTATTATTATTATTATTTCACGGCGATATTAAATTGTTCCATAAAGATATTTCAGCCTACTATTCTAACTTTCCTTTTCTCCAATTTCGTAGCTTCGCTACTTGCGTACATACCCTGAAGATGGACATAAATCTCAAGATGCGCTATCTGAGGTTATGATTCTTGTCAAAGAAGAAGCAAAGACGCATAACCTATATTTGCTTGTGGATGTAAGTTAATTATCTTACATGGAACGTGTGTTTTTAGTATATTTAATAACTGGCGATGCGCTTTGAACAAGATGTTGTAATTCCAGTGGAGGTCCAGTCTGTTACTTTGGACAAGCTTTCCAGAAAAAAACGTATGTGTGCAGTGGAATGGAGATGAAGCGTGTGATCAGTGGAATTGTTCGGGAAAAGTAGAGGTCGGGAAGGGGGTGGTTAGGAATAAGAGTTAGAACTAAGAATCGATGCTGGTAGTGCATTCAAAGAGGTCGACCTTAATTACGCTGCGACTTAAATGACGACAGTGCCTGTAAACACATCACCGAAGACTTCTTGGATGGTGCCATCTTACGATATTTCCGCCCGAGATACTGAAGTATCAGTAATCAAACGAGTGAGAACATCGATGTTTGAGGAACAATCTTCTATTTCAATTATTAAAATCTACTTAATCACTGCAATCCATGCAGTGTTTCGTACCACACGGTGAAATAGAAGAGGAATCGTCAAAATCTCTTTAAAAAGTATTGATTAAAACATGGTAGCTTTCATTTAACCCTTTTTTCTTTTCGAGAAAATACAGGAATTTTAAGTAAACTGTTTGCTAAAGCTGTAATTAACAATTGAATTAGTATGTGTAATCTATTGGTGACGAGTGAAATTAGGGAATAAAATTTCATGCACGTTTTGTCAAAATTCTAATAATTGCCCTCGCATTCATGCGAAATTTAATAATTCCCTAATAATTTGACGATTATATCATTTGATGACCTATTAATATCATGGGCGACAAATTACGCCCATAATCGTTGGTTTTCGACAATTAAGTTTATCGTATCGATTGGGAACTCATCATCTCACTGAAAAGCTAAGAGCTTAAATTTTGCCTTCAGTTCAGATTTTTCAGAATTTTTCGACAAAATACCTTCTTGGTGTGTTCTTTCGTGTGTTCACATGAAAATTAAGGATAAGTAATTTGTTACCCATAATATTACCACCTTTATACTACTACATGAGAAATTTGAGCAATTTGATTGGCTTAGAGCAGTGATATTTTAGCTTAATTTGGAATACCTACATGTAAAAATTACAAAACCTTTGCGGGTAGTAGTATAAAGAAATAATAGCATGATTTGTACGTGATATTTGGCATAAATACCTCTCGTAATATTTCAAAATTGTCTCAAATTTCACTCCCCTAACGGCTCGTGAAATTACGTATAACAATTTCGAAAAACCACTCGTGGTATTTACGCCAAATATCACTACCTATACTTATTTGAAGCATTTAATTATTTATACTTAGCCCGACCACAACAATACCATCGTTAGCGCTCTTAGTTCCTAATGCTTCGTTTGCATAAACAAATGAGATTCTGAATCATCATTCTAGGAAGTCAAAAGAGCAATAGAGAAAAAGTGGAGACGGGATAATGGCATACTTCCCAGTTATAATTCCACTGTTATATTCAGCTTGGATGACTACATAAAGTATTGCACAAAATTTTCTTGGTGTATGGTGTCCCAAGTTCCTCCTTTGGAAATTGAATACAAGGACGAAGTTTTCAACTCTAGAACGCACGTTCTGAGCCAAGCATTCAGTTTTCGAGAGGACCATGGCCCGGCCCATCACCAGAGGCATCCAACAGCCCGTCGGACTATTGTGTGCTACCTATGGCCTACTCTACAGGATTGCGAAAAAAAGGTCTTAGCAAAAGGAGAGGTGATCTTGAGCCAGAGATAGTATTTCCTCTGGGTGGCGACATCAGTATGTTTGTCATATTTGCAGGGTCGTTTATGGACGTTCGCTAGTGTAGATACTGCGATGCAGTGAACTTTAATTTTGTAGTGACTGTAATTCCCCAAAGTATTTACAATTTGTGTATATGGTGTGTGTAGTAAATATAGTAAGCAGTAATAAAGATAGTAATTAAAGTAAAGACTTTATTGGATAAATACAATTACTGGATAACCGGTACTTTTAATTATGGTCTAAATATTAACCCCCGGATGTACACGCAAATTGATACCCCCACCGCGGTACAAGGGGTGGATGGAACTCCTCCCCGGAGTTTTTGATATGTTGCAGTATTCTGAAACGATTTTACCTTTATTGGAAAGCCTTTGATCTTCTTAACAAGATGAGGTATATTTTGTTGGTGGTAGCGCTGCTGGAGGCCTGTGACGTCACCAACAATGGTCGCCATCTTGGCCGCCATCTTGGATTTTGCCAAGAATTAGAAATCAGGTTAAAACCGCGAGAAATGGTAATTTTTTGTTCTGTACATGAAAAGTAACACATAAAGAAGCACTATGCGTGATTTTAGGCCCAAGATTTACTTTTATTGTTGAAAGAGGTTGAGAAAACATGTATTTTCACCCAAAATTGGTTTGACCACCTGTTACTTATGACGTCATATCTCCTAACCATAGCAACTAACCATCACTAAACTTGTCTTAAAATCTGCGCGAGGGTTAAACGAATAGCTGAAGACGTCAGGTGCTGATGTGTTATCCTCTAGGGAAAAAGTCAGAAAAACCTTATGCCTCCCTCCCCCCCCCCCCCCCCCCCCCCCTTTTCCCGAGAGGGTAAAAAAAAAAAAATTACAAAAAAAAAAAAAAAATAAAAAAGAAAATAAAAAAAAACAAAAAATTAAAAAAACTAAAAAAAAATAAAAAAAGTAAAATAAAAA